GTCCGTAAACGGAACTACCCGCACGCGATCAGAACACATACGTTGCAGCTTTCTTACATCAACCGGAAGTGAGATGTTTTAGGTGTTTTGAATTTAATAAATGTTCATTAGTTTTTGTAAGATTAACTTACTTTGTTTATTATTTAGAGTGATTTAATATTTTTGTTATTACACTATTCGCTGTGTTAGATAAACAGATATTGATTAGTTCATTATTCGTTTATCCCGTTATTCCTACCTAACTAATAGGTCCACATAGCACCATCGGCCTCCCTCCTTTACCCGCGCTAACCTTGTAGGGTTTGACGCCGAATGAGCGAGAGGACCTATTTTACGGGTCGTATTATACAGTTAATAGTGGTAATACAGTTCTATCCTATTTTATATCCACCGTTTAAGCTTTGGACAGTCTAAAAACGGCGTACCGCTTCAGATTGTACATCGCCCCACGGTGGAACATATATATGTATCCATTTGTAGGTACTCATGTATACATATATATGAGCGGCTAGACATAAGATTGCTGTGGGGTGGCAGACTCGTCCTTAAACGGAACTACCCGCACGTGGTCAGAAAACATACGTTGCAGCTTTCTTACATCAACCGGAAGTGAGATGTTTTTAGGTGTTTTGAATTTAAAAAATGTTTATTAGTTTTTGTAAGATTAACTTGCTTTGTTTATTATTTAGAGTGAATGGATATTTTTGTTATTACACTATTCGCTGTGTTAGAGAAACAGATATTGATTATTAGTTCATTATTCGTTTATCCCGTTATTCCTACCTAACTAATAGGTCCGTATAGCACCATTGGCCTCCCTCCTTTACCCGCGCTAACCTTGTGGGGTTTGACGCCGAATGAGCGAGAGGACCTATTTTACGGGTCGTATTATACAGTTTATAGTGGTAATACAGTTCCATCCTATTTTATATCCACCGTATAAGCTTTGGACAGTCTAAAAACGGCGTACCGCTTCAGATTGTACATCGCCCCACGGTGGTACATATATATATATATTCATTTGTAGGTACTCATGAAAACATCTATATGAGCGGCTGGACATACGATTGCTGTGGGGTGGCAGACTTGTCCGTAAACGGAACTACCCGCACGCGATCAGAACACATACGTTGCAGCTTTCTTACATCAACCGGAAGTGAGATGTTTTAGGTGTTTTGAATTTAATAAATGTTCATTAGTTTTTGTAAGATTAACTTACTTTGTTTATTATTTAGAGTGATTTAATATTTTTGTTATTACACTATTCGCTGTGTTAGATAAACAGATATTGATTAGTTCATTATTCGTTTATCCCGTTATTCCTACCTAACTAATAGGTCCACATAGCACCATCGGCCTCCCTCCTTTACCCGCGCTAACCTTGTAGGGTTTGACGCCGAATGAGCGAGAGGACCTATTTTACGGGTCGTATTATACAGTTAATAGTGGTAATACAGTTCTATCCTATTTTATATCCACCGTTTAAGCTTTGGACAGTCTAAAAACGGCGTACCGCTTCAGATTGTACATCGCCCCACGGTGGAACATATATATATATATTCATTTGTAGGTACTCATGAAAACATATATATGAGCGGCTGGACATAAGATTGCTGTGGGGTGGCAGACTCGTCCTTAAACGGAACTACCCGCACGTGGTCAGAACACATACGTTGCAGCTTTCCTTTATCAGTCGGTGATTGGTTTGTTATATGGTTATTTTTCTATTGGGTTATCCTTTATATCAACTTATTTTTTGTTACCCTGCTTCCATCCCTTGTTTTATTAAAAGTGACTTTCCCACCTGCAGGACCGATGTATGAAATATATATTGCTATAAACGTTTTTCGCGAAGTCACTTTAGAGTTATTTCCCTTATTTTTTGGGCGTTAGGGGTGTATTATTTTGATATTGTTTGTAGGTTTATAGGATAGGTGATTTGGTATTTTTATGTTATTAGAATCTGCTACCTTTAGTTCTAAATGGTTATAGTATATTAAAAAGATTTTCTTCATTTTTAGGAATCTCATAAAAGAACTACCAAGGACTGATAAAATATATATTTTGAGATATATTTCATGTTTATATATAAAAAATGAAAATCTTATTAGGAGTTCCTTCCCCTTGACCAATGGTCTCAGGTCCACAACTCTAGATCCTGTTCAAATAGTCGATTTTGCTCAATTTTTTTATCAGGAATTTATGTATTAATCTCTCTGATTCTTTAGTTGCTAGGAGTTCAGAAATTGTCGTGATTTTGATCTTATTTTCGTTTAGTTCTTTTCTTAGTTCTTTCCTTTCTTCTTTATGTTTGTTACAGTGCCAAAAAACATGATCTATTGTTTCATTTTCCTTACAATTGGGACAGGTTGGAGATATATCCTTTTTCATAATACTGATGTTTCCGTTTAGTTTGGTTGTACCTAGTCTTAGTCTTGTTATTGTAACGTCTTCACTTTTACTATGGCCATACAGTTTGGTTTTTTTAATTGGTTCCTTTATTATAGTACGTAATACATTGTTTTGCCCTACCTCATTCCATGTTTTTATCAATTTATTGTCTATGGCTTTATTTATTAGAGAATATGCTTCTTCTTTAGATAAATTTACTTCTCACTGAATCGTTTCATGTTTTAGTGCCTTTTTGGCTAATTTTGTCAGAACTTGTGCTGCATGTGCTGGGTTTTCATCTATAATTACATATAAGGAGGTGTCATCTGCAAAAAGCTTAATATTAGATGAAACATTGTCAGTGATGTCACTTATATAAAGGAGAAATAGTAAAGGTCCCAAAACAGATCCCTGAGGTACCCCTGCATTTATACCCTTAAACTGTGAGTGATAACCTTCAGTGGTAACTCTTTGAAAGCTATCAGAGAGATAATTTTCAAACCATAAAAGTAAATTTCCATCAATTCCATACGTTTTAAGTTTATGTAAGAGACCTTTATGCCACACCCTATCAAAAGCTTTGCTAATATCACAAAAAATAAATCTGAGCTCCTTCCCCTGGTCCATATTGCTAACAATTTCATTATAAATAAATAGTAGTTGATTAACAGTAGAATCACCTGGTATAAAGCCAGACTGGTGCTTAGTTAAGATAGAATTTTCTATTAGATAGTTGTACAGATTTTTGAAGACAATTTTTTCCATTATTTTACTGAAACATAAGGTTATTGAGATTGGTCTATAATTTAAAACATCATTTGATGAACCCTTCCCTTTATATATAGCATTTATATTTGCTTGTTTCCATCTATTTGGTAATATTCCTATTCAAGTGTTTTATTAAATAAAAGACAGAGGGGTAATGCAAGAGAGTTACTCATTTTTTTTACAACTTTAGGGATTACACCATTAGGTGTTTATTTGACTTCAGTGACAACAGTACAGTTATATAGGTATCCAGTGTTTATTTGACCATAGTGACATCAACACAGTTATATAGGTATCCGGTGCTTATTTGACCTCAGTGACAACAGTACAGTTATATAGGTATCCAGTGCTTATTTTACCATAGTGACAACAGTACGGTTATATAGGTAACCTGTGTTTATTTGACAACAGTACAGTTATATAGGTATCCAGTGTTTATTTGACCTCAGTGACAACAGTACAGTTATATAGGTATCCAATATTTATTTGACCATAGTGACAACAGTACGGTTATATAGTTAGCCTGTGTTTATTTGACCATAGTGACAATAGTACAGTTATATAGGTATCCAGTGCTTATTTGACCATAGTGACAACAGTACAGTCATATAGGTATCCAGTGTCGATTTGATCATAGTGACAACAGTGCGGTTATATAGGTATCCAGTGTTTATTTGACCTCAGTGACAACAGTACAGTCATATAGGTATCCAGTGTCGATTTGATCATAGTGACAACAGTGCGGTTATATAGGTATCCAGTGTTTACTTGACCTCAGTGACAACAGTACAGTCATATAGGTATCCAGTGTCGATTTGATCATAGTGACAACAGTGCGGTTATATAGGTATCCAGTGTTTATTTGACCTCAGTGACAACAGTACAGTCATATAGGTATCCAGTGTCGATTTGATCATAGTGACAACAGTGCGGTTATATAGGTATCCAGTGTTTACTTGACCATAGTGACAACAGTACGGTTATATAGGTAACCTGTGTTTATTTGACAACAGTACAGTTATATAGGTATCCGGTGTTTATTTGACCATAGTGACAACAGTACAGTCATATAGGTATCCAGTGTCGATTTGATCATAGTGACAACAGTACAGTTATATAGGTATCCGGTGTTTATTTGACCATAGTGACAACAGTACAGTTATATAGGTATCCAATATTTATTTGACCATAGTGACAACAGTACGGTTATATAGGTAACCTGTGTTTATTTGACAACAGTACAGTTATATAGGAATCCGGTGTTTATTTGACCATAGTGACACCAGTACAGTTATATAGGTATCCAATATTTATTTGACCATAGTGACAACAGTACAGTCATATAGGTATCCAGTGTCGATTTGATCATAGTGACAACAGTACAGTTATATAGGTATCCGGTATTTATTTGACCAAAGTGACAAAAGTACAGTTATATAGGTATAAGAAAAATGTTCCAAGGGAAGTAAAATATTGACTCTTTTTGTAAGTCCATAAATATTTAATATATAAATATAATTAAACTGTATGAATCTGCGTACTGGTAAACAAAATGTATAATTTTGATAACAAAATATGTTATTGCAAATGCGTTCAATAATTGTAATAAATCGTCGACATACAAGGACTTTTAGCAATGTTGGCTGTTTATTGGATATTTTATATATAATAAAAACCTTCACGTCCCGTCAAACATCATTACATGTATTTCGTCCAAGTAAATATTGTTATTTCATCCCGTTTAAATTATTGTCGTTTATCCTAAGTGCGATAGCGACATTCTTTTCTCGGCGAAATAACGAAACAAAAATAACTTGTTACATATTTCCCTAAGATCTCTTGAAAGAAAGTGATGATACACGTTATCAATAAAATTATGATTTTGTTTTCATTAGCTCATAATCGTTATAACAACGCGACATAACGAAAAACTGATAATCGTCTTTCCACTTCGATATAAATATAATCTTTGTCCTTTCAAATAACACAGCCAAATAACGATAACAATAGAGGGGGAAAACACAAAGATTATCGTAAAAATGCTAAAATTGTCTGAGAAATATCCAAGTAAACTAATGACAGAAGGGCAGTCTTGTTGCGCAATGCGCAGCGTACTCGCTTGCGTTAAGACAGCCAGTGTCTGATTCCCCGACCATACATAACGGTATTTGGTCACAGGCCCGACCACGCAAGTTTTTTTCTTAAGACCCATTTTCGCACAACCCTCCATGCCAACAAAAGTGATTAATATATTTTATTAAATGGAGAATTCCTGATATTTCACTGGTTAAAATGTGATAAATGTTGATAAACTTGTTTCATATGTGTACTTTGTATGTTTAACATGTAAATATATATGTGACACATTTGAAAACAACTTAAGAATGTATACATAATACTTCATATACTGAAGGGAGATAACTCTGGTAGATATTGCATAATCTGTAAGATAAAATACTGGTATAATGGTATCAGGAAGTGGGGCAGAATATCCGGTTGAATGAATTACTAGTGTGTAACCTTCAAGTGGATGTCGTATAACAATTGTGTCCCTTGGTTGGTTAGCATCCTGATGATTTCGGGATTACTACAGCATTCCCGCCGGTTTAAAACAAAATACTTCATCACTTTTGTCCTTTTGGAGAAAATGAGTCACTCCGCTTGTATCCCTTTGTATTGTCTTGGTTGGAGAAGAAGATGAATTTATAGTCATTATGTTTTTTTAACGATTGGATCTTTGTATCCTGTTAGACTGCGTTTAGCTTTTCCATTCGAAATCATCAGCATTTCCGTTTCCGGTTTTGCAGTAACAGTTTCCTCGTTGTCATATTGACTCCAATCAGTGCGTTTGGCTATGATTAACATTGCTATGTGCATCAAAAGTGTTACGAACTTTATAGCAAGCTCAATCACGTGACGTTTCAGTTTAAAGTCTTCAATATCGTACATTGAGCATGCGCCTTGACCGCGACAGGAAGAATTCCAAGTTAAACAGGAAGTGTCGATGACCATGCCCATAACAATTGGCCCCGGACACCAACCTGAAAACAAAAACACGGGCGGTTATCATAAGGTGTTACTATTGTCCAGTATAGTAACAATAAAATACACGAAAGTGTGCCGATATGTATAAATATTCCGCATTAGCTCCGCAAAGTACTCTACCATGCACAGGGGACATTTCGTGAGATTAAAATTCCATTTGGTCAGGGTGAACACTATTGTGACGTCATCGACCCTATTGTGACAATACTGACTTTTCTGACCTATTTTAGTTTCATTTATTGGTGTTTATACGCTTTCGGTTTAATTTATTACAATGTAAAACATGTATATACACACAATAGAGTTTACAATTTAATGTATGTGATTTGGTTTGTTTGTGTCTTACGTCCTATTAACAGCTATGGTAAATTAAGGACGTGCCAGGTTTTGGTGGTGGAGGAAAACCGGAGTTCCCGGAGAAAAGCCATCGACCTACGGTCAGTACCTGGCGACTTCTCCACGTGCACGTATGTATCCAACCCGCGAACCAAAGGTGGAGGGCTAGCGGTAGCAAAATGTCAGACGCGTTTACCACTTGGCCACCGCGGCCTCCTTTACTATATGTAAATATATATTTTGGAAATGGACACGAGCTGCATTACCGAGTAGGGTCTGAAGAAAGGTAGAAAACCCTACAGCCAGCGACTTCTGTTTATCCGTGACGCATCTGCAATAAAAAGAAAATTATTAAAAGAAAATTGAAAAATTTATAACATAAAGAGGTATTTAATCTGTTGTTTTTTTGGTTTTTTTTGTGTAGATTACATAAAAATATACAATAACGTTTCCAAAGTGTCGAAAGTTTGCCTGCTACATTTTTTTTTATAAATTTCCAACATTGCAGCTTATTTTCTTCTTAAAGCGACATGTGCTGACATCGTTTTCAATCTTTAATTTAATATTTCAATACATTGTTTACATTTTAGTAAATTGATTTCGTTTGGAAAAAAGCAATTGGATTAATAACAAAACTCTGAGATGTAAAAGTAAAAATCACCATTCCTGGAATACCTAAGATATTACAACAAACAGACCCTTTTTACCACGCCCACGAGGCGTCTGCAATACAACCGACATCTAACGAAGGGACCAAGTGATCCGTTTGGAAAGAAACTAACCAGCGTACTTTGCCAGCTAACAAATCAGGTCGACCAATTAAACATTTTAGTTTTAAATTTACGTTCATAATATAATACATACAGTGTGTTTCGATATTACTATCATTCATATTTAGTTTCGTACTTTAGTTTAGTTAGAACTCCCGTTGCCAAATTTTAGTTTTTAATGTAATTGTGTAATTTTGTATATAACTGAGGTTCGTAGTCAATCTTTGGTTTTTAAATTTCAGTTATTTGTTAAGATTTTAGTTTCGTATTTTAGTACGATACCTGATGCTGAATATAATGCTTGGCATGGCTGCCATTGCTGCGACGAGGCCACCAAAAAACGTCACGGCCACATAAGGTATCAGCATATTACAGTCTGTAGGACACAGACCAGGAGATGCTGTCCCGTTTACTCCGACACATCCACATCCAACAAACGTCTACAATTTGTTATTTCAACATTTCAATAATATTTTTAATAATATACACAAAAAAACAAAACATAGCGCTATATACAATTTGTAAAATAACTATTAAGGCGCTTTACGGCACATGAGTTATAGTATTTCTACAGTGACAGCTATAAGTATTCCGTCTTTGCGTATTGCAGAGTTATCTTCTCTTGAGAGCAGGTATTGATTGTTACGTCATTGGTTTGTGTGAGAAAATTACGTCGTTTTCTCAAAAATTGATGACGTTACTCTCACAAACAAATGACGTAACAATCAATACCTGCTCTCAAGAGAAGATAACTCTGCAATACGCAAAGACGGAATAGAAGATAGAAATACATACAAATCAGCATTATACATTAAGTAGACAAATATCTCAATATGCATGAATGAATATATAAAGGTGTTGTGTACATGACGTCTGTGCAAAGAGCCTAAAATGCAGACGTGAAGAGGTGCGTCTTTATATCCTTCTTGAATTTAGCCAGGGTTTTTGACTTTCTAAAAGCAGATGGTAAGCTATTCTACAACGCGGCCAAAACCTGCCCAAAGCACCGGTTTCCATAGGTCTAAGAACGAAATTAGTTTAGTTTTATTAGTTTAAACATATTTATTGCCAAAATAAGACAAGGGATTAGGCACAAGCTATACCAACTTATCAACGCCTTCTCTCAATATACATTTGAAATGACATTACAATTATGACAATAAATATATACAATTGTTATTACAATTTGAACTCAAAATCTCTTGCTGGATTTAATAAACGAAATTTCGGGACACACAACAATGATTCACCATAAAAAAGTCGGTTTTGTTTAATATGACACATACAACAAACATAAACAAAAAAGAACGATTATAACGGCTGTTCCGCTCAAAACTATCCCAAAAACACTTACACTTCCAAATGTTACAGCATAAACAATATTGTTATTTTACTGAAAACATATCCGTTACCATAATTTCAACATACGAATGGCTGTTTTTATTCATTACAACCCATCGAACACCACAAATACCATCACCGCTTAAAAGTGTTTTTCCTTTTTCCAAGAAACTCTCGATATTATTTTCACAGCAGGAGTTTTTTTCCATGTTGAGTTCGTGCCTATTTTATCAATGAGATTTACCTGCCCTTGCTGATCAGAACACCCGGCGTGGCACGGCGAAAAGTAATTCCGTCCGTCTGATCCGCAGGCTGGAAAATAATCCCCGTCATCGCAAAGACAACTGTCTGTACAATCCGCAAAGTCATTGGAACTATTTCTAGAAAAAAGGTTAAAGCATAAACAAAATGCACTACAATAAAATTCAAAACGATGTATTATATATTGTTAATTATCCGTTTACTTGAAGTCGAACCAGCTCGACGGCAATTGCTGAATGCGTGACCTGACCCCAAAGGGACCAAACGACACCCAAATTATCTCCATACACCTCAGTTTGGGTTCAAATATAGCTGTAACAAATTCTCGGGTCTCTGTGTGGCCTCACCGACAATATTAGAACTAGGCCCATTTCCCGTACCCGGTTCAACCGGTTTGCCCGTTTTTAAATGTGACATTTCCGGGTATAAGTCCTTGTTGACCTGAATGAGATCTGATTTCAAAATGCTCCAGTCAGCCTTCCCTTGATTCACATTACATTATTAAATGTAGCAAGTTTGATGAATGCATCAGACAAAGCAAACACGTTATGCTCCAGAAAAAAAAACTGTTTCAAAAATAAATAACGGGCAATGACGTTGCCAACAGTGCACGTAAATTCTTGAAACTCGAGTTCGTTTCAGCTATGTCTGTATGGAATATTTGCAGCACGTTTCACCAAGAAACATTCATTAATAAAGGTAGGAGTGACAACAATGAAAGGTTCAGGAGGGCACGACCAATAGCGCTGGATTATATCGTAACACGACTCGTTGTCGTTAGACGTAAACAATGAATACAAAATACTCTTTTCCCCAAATCTTGAATATGTATCTTACCCTACTGTGTTGAATCCTACAATCTCGGGATTATAACATCCAAAACTGTATCCAAATATCGGGAGCAAAACGGCGAAGGACGAGATTCCCAAAATGAGCTTGGCACAAGCGATTGGGGATAATTTGAATTTGGATACGACACATCCTCCCAAGAAGCTGCCAAGTGCTGCCGCGAATACACCAATCATGCCTGAAAAATATGGAAAGAGGCATATTTACCATTTTCAGAACAGATGTTCAGCATTTCAGTATACTTCAGTTTAAATGGTATCAATATCGTAAACGCGATCTGTGAACCAATCCGATTCGTCCTTCAAGGATTGGTTTTCTTTACCCAGTGGAAAGTGAAACATTGAAATTGTTGTCATCAAGAAACGAGGGTTTTCAATACAAATGTAATCCCCAAAGCACATGATAGATCTCATCTGATTCAATAAATCGATATCAGTGAAAAGGTAACTGAAGTTCTTGATTATCTTGTATTCATGTTGAAATGTTTTTTCCAACCACTGGTGTACTCATACCAAGCCTGTACGACGATGGTCAGCAAAAAGACTTTCTCGAAAAAAAGCATTTTCAGGAACGTTTCTTTTAATGGTTCGGTAGGTAAAAAGAAGAGAATATCTTTCATTGTATTGAGAAAAAAATAGAAGTTTAAAGACAATTTGTCTGGTCTACCAAGCTAAGAAAGTGCCGCAGGAACATCAATTTTGTTGGCTCATTAAGTGAATGGAACTTTGAGAATATCTTGCACAGTATAGGAAGTATAAAAAAATGTGAACAAAAGTACTACTCACCCATAACGAGGTTCGCAAACCAGGCAGGAATCTGGAACTGTGTTTCCAAGTACTTCGGTTGGAACGCTAAGGTACCCCCGACTGAAAACAACGTTAGACAGCTCGCCAACACCACCAACATATACAGTCGGTTCGTTACCAGCTTCCAAAGTCCTTTCAGGATTTCTGTAACATAGGAAACAACCGAATCATCTCCCTTATTTGTGCTCTTCAGTTTATACAGGAAACGGTGTTGTTCCAATTCATTTCTATCCTCTGTAATGAGAACGAAATCAAGATGGCGGTGAATAACTTCTCATATATCGTATTTCACTGCGATAATTTTTGGGCTACATCTTATTTCAAAAATATGAATCCGTTATTTTTCTATTTCTAGGCATACAATAGTTTTCTACAACAATTTTTCAACTTATGTCAATCACTCTTGGTGGCCCGGATGGAAGCGCGCAAGGGTCTTGATGGAAACCAGAGAACCCGCAGACAGACAGTCCCGTGATCTATACCTTTTTTCGAGTCGGATCGGGGAGTCGAACCCCGGTCGTTTTGGTTGAATGGCGAGTGCTTCGCCACCTGACCAACAATTTTCTAGGCATATTAGTTACCTTTCGTGTTTTCAAGTAAGCCAGATTTCCCGTCAGCATGATCCGCTGGCCTCGGTTTGAGCCTGCGCGGAAAAAAGAAAACTGGAATACCGGCCAGAATAGCAAGAAATCCAAAAAGGAGGAATCCCAACCACCACGCCCCCACCCAGCGCGGGTCCCGAGGATTGATAGAGACTTCTGTAAAAAATAATCATGACAAAGCTCATCGAAGGCATAAATTATAAGGTAAAAGTGGAGTAGAGAAAAATGGCCACGAGCACTGTAAAATACATGTACGTGCACATTGTACAGAATGTAATTTTCGGTACATGAAACAATAAGCAAAGGCAGTATATTTTTATTTTATTTTACCTTCGAGTGAAATGTAGATTTGAGTAAAGAAACCACCGAGTCCAAATGCTATAGCTGGTCCAAAAATGGATAGCGCCATTATCGCACCTGTAGGAGAGTAAGATAAAATATGAATTACTACATGTTCGCCTATGAGATATTGGATTCTAAGAACTTGATAAAACTGGTATATTTTTTCACAATGTGTCAAAAGTGATATCGGGCAAAATATAAAGAGATATCACTTTGGATATTGACCAATCAGAACGGTGCTTTCTATTTCATGCAGCCTGTAAAAACTGGATTGCCTGCCGTATATTGTTTTACCCTCCGCAAGGCTTCTCGTCGAACATACCAATCGGCAATCCGTTGGAGACTCCGTCTCGCTCCATCATAACGGAACTCCTAGGGTGACTTATTCCTCGCACACTAATAATGTAGCTTAGCGGAGTCACCAGAGGTTTGCCGATCGCGAGGAACGAGCCATCCGAGGAGTTCCGAATGTCGAAAATTAAATTTAGACTCTTGTGTCCTCTCTAACAAGAAGCACACGCTTCAGTTAAGATGCAGACAAAGCGAAGAGAGAATAATTCTATTATTCAATTTGTGATTGTATTGGTGCATCATTTATTGCACAGTTGAGAGTTTATGTAAGTAAATCCTAACATTTTATAGAATAACCAGTAGAATAACGTTGAGTAGCCCGTCGAAAATTGGGATCCAGCCCTCTTGTCAAACGTGAAGTCATAAGAATACTGCACCATAGACAAAGCTTCTACTTTTCGCACATTTTTGATGTAGAGGCATTTTCGTCGTTGCATGATCTCTAAAGTTAGCTAGAACATATCAAAACATCAAGTGATATACCATATATACTAGTATATATCATCCGGAACACCTCGGCCGTATCGTTCATTGATGAAAAGAACTGTAATCGGGTCGAGGTGTTCCAAATGTACCATAAATATGCTTCACTCGTTTGGAAGATATACCGATATTTGCCCTTCCGCTTCACACTCGTGAATAATATCGGTATTTTTGCCATATTCGTAAATTATCATATGGTGTTCAACGGAAATGTTATCTTTAGTTATAGGCAGTTGGTACATGTAGCTTTGGAGAGGAGGTCACAATAAACAGTATATATATGTTTGCGGTGGTCGTTTAGGAAGGTTATCATTTACTTAGTTATAGACAGGGGAACAGTGTAGATATATTTATTGTAGAAACATATTTTATTCCGATTTAAAAAAAAGATTGGATCTTATATACAGATGGCCGTTATAGGCAGGTTTGACAAGAATACCCAGGTGATAGCTTCAGGCAAACAGTCGGTATAGACAAGTTATGTTGCAGTTATTTACAGTGAGCGGTAGCTACAGAGAGGTTCAATTGTACACAGGTAGTCCTACAGACAGGTTTCATTGTATAATTTTATCGCTTTGGCCGGACATTTTAGGAAAACACATTTATCATCTATATACTACTTTATACCACTTACCGGTAGCATGATACATTTATTATCATTGGTTGTCAGTATGAGAAGAAGTTGAGAACGACTTGAGAACAACTTCAGACGAACTTGAGAACGGATTTTCCCATTCCCCAGCACTTGGTAATAATAGAATCTCTCACCCCCTTGGGGTGATATAGGGGAATCTCAACCCAAGGGGGAAGATTCTTAAGTTGCCAAACACGAGGCTTTGCCGAGTGTTTGGCAACTTAAGAATCTTTCCTGAGGGTGGAGACCCCCTATCTCTCCAACAAGGGGGTAAATGATTCTTTTTCTCTTACCATGGTCCCCCATTGTGTATCATATTAATTTAAATTACATGCTAAATTCAGGGTTGACGTGACGTTGATGGATTGTTGACGTGACGTCATTGTATTGTTGAAGTGACGTCATACCATTGTTATGAATAGGGGAATCCCCCCGTTTCAACCCTAAGGTGAGACTAATATAATAGTTCACCCCCTTGGTAAGCTTACCCCGAGGGTTGAGATCACCCTGTCTCACTCCCAATGGGGTGAATGATTATTTTTCTCTTACCCTTTTTACCCTCTTATGTATTTTATACAGACGTTACATCAATGCAAGACACTGTTGATGTGATGCGGCTGAATTGTCGACGTGACGTCATTGTATTGTTGACTTTACGTCATGGTATTGTTGCTATGACGTCATACAATTGTTGAGAACGTGCAAAGAACACGTGTAGCTTGTCTCAACCCTAGGGTGAGATAAGAAAATCTCACATCGGTAAAATGGTGGATATCCCTGTCCAGGGTAAGAGAAAAGGAAATCTCACACCGATAAACGTTAGGATACACCTGTCCAGGGTTAGAGAACGTATTTTCTCAAAAAAGATGGTCTGCTCGCTCCAGATGACGACCGAAACCGGAAATAGTGTCCAAACAAAAGTGATCCGCGTAAGAAAATAGTCAGAAAAACAAACATATCGATAAATACAACGTTACGGGGAAAAAAATGTGAGAATAACAACACCATTTCAGGTGTAAATGTGCAAATGGATAAGCCAATGTCGATAGGATTGTTTAAATTTATTTTTTTCTACGTACTGTTAAGGTTCATTGTATTCCTCCGTGCAAAACTTCTATTTGTTTACGTTTGTCACAGGCGATCGTTGATCATTGAGCTTAGAAGTCATTTGGAACACATGGTATTAAGTTGAATTATTTAAATGGTGAAATATATAAGGTAGTAGTATATAGATGATAAATAGTTTATCATACAGTATTTTCAGTGTTTGTCGTTCGAACAATTCTCTTATCGCTCGCACGCAGATAAAATCTCGAATCCACCTGCGGTGGCCTCTCGATTTTATCCACGTGCTCGCAATGAGAAAATTGTTCTCACGACAACCCCTGAAAATACAGTGTGATGATCTACAATTATTAACGTTATTCGAAGCGCAATGGCTGGTTTTTCACAGCATACTCATAATAAATTGAAATTCTTACCCAGATACATTCCGGTGCTAGTTTTCTTCACGTTGTCATCGATGTAACACGTCACAAATGGTTGCCTTGGAGATTTAGCGAAACCCTGAAGAAACATTCCAATGGCAAGAATAGTTAAGGCTACCGGCGTGAAGTTTGTCGGGGCCCCGACTTTTATCTCAGCATTAGATACGTCAACATGTAAACAGTCTTCTTTGCCTGCGCCGTCACAGAGTTGTCCCCCTTTAGTGAACGTAGTTAACGAGTCATTTACATACACATTTTGACCTTCACCTATATCTTGACCTTTTAAAAGTCCTTGACCTTCGGTCATGAACGTTGGCGAAAGAAAATATGCCAACGAACATAGAATTCCAGACACACCGAACACAATGGTGGCTATTGACAAAACTCTTGGTATATGAACTCTCCTGGCGTTGTGACTGACGAATATGGTTGTTAATAGAAACCCAATGTCATTGCAACTCATGAGAAATCCACTTTGCGAACTTGAGAATCCAAAATATTTCTCCATGGTAGTAATCTGTGAATTCACATACATGGAAATTGTGGACGAAAAAAGTCCTGCCAAGCTGTAAAACGCCGTGAAACAAATAATGTTACCGCAACGTTTCATAAATCTTGGTTTACAGGCACCAACGCCACATTGAGTATCCGGGTCCTCTGGCAGAGCTTTCATTTCCGCTCGCATCACGTCTTTCCGGTCTACAGGGGAGATAAATCTGTTCGACTCCTCCATTGTATTTAGCGGTCAAAAAACTTGCAGACTACATATGCTTGATTATCTGAAAATAACAAAGCGAAACTTAATGCTTACAGCTCCTCCCATAAAGATAATGCACGAGTTACCTTTCCTTTCATTAAACTTAATATGGCTCAGGCATGGCCTGGAGAGAGCGAAGCTCGTATTGTACAATTGTTTCAATAGTATAGTATAATATTATTGAATCATAACATTACCCATTTTAATACATACAAAATGTACATGTACTTGTTTTTTTTATGATATACTTGACTCTGTTGCTGGGCAAAATCATTCATCCTTGTACTTATGTGTGCTCTGTTTTAGAATGATCCACATTCACACTACACTAATATGACGCATCACATGTTAGTTTGAAGTTGACGGGTTTGTATTATACGGTACTACTATATAGCTAGACTATATTGATAGTAATAGTATCCTCATTTGGTTCTTGTTAATCCAAGAATATAAGTATATACTCTACTCATGGCTGTTCATAATAATATGTATCATTATTTTTATTCAAAAGAAACAAATGCCATTTGAAAAAAAATCATGGAGTAAAAATGATAATGTGAGTTGTAAGCAGAATGTTTAAACAATTGGTTTGAGCTGATATGCCAATCCATGAAGGATGTATCTGTTTTAAATTAAATATGTTTAGCATGTTAGACACAGAAGGTTAGAGACTGTCACGTCTCCTACCACTATAAGTATAAAAAGAAGATTTTAAATTTTTCTTTTTAATAATTTCGATTATCCACGTGAAATGATGAAATCTAATGTTTGTACTGATTATATACCTTAGAAATTACAAGTATCTACATCAGGAGATTCCTCCTCTTCATCATCGCTGTTGTCATAAAGTTTTTGTAGATACCTAGAGATAGATTGGCATATCAGCTAAAACCATTTGTTTGCAAGTGAAGTTTCTGGATGGACACCATCGTATAACTTTGTGTAACCATACTTTGAGTAATTATTTTTTGCGATTTTGATCATGTTTTCCTCGATGTTTGAAGAAATTATGTGTCATTGTCTTTGTTAAATTTGAGGGTCAAAGATTTTGTGTTGTATTCTGTGATGATTGTGTTAACTTGATGGAATTGATGTTAGATTTATGATGGACTTGTAATTCTCGAGTCAATATTGGTGATAAATGTGGTTAAATAAAAACAAATGCCATCACCAGTTACATCATATGCGGAATAGTTTTAATTTTGATTAGAAATGGTTGCTGACGGTCGCATATTATGCAATCTGTTAACAAAAATAAAAGTGGTGAAAATTTAATGTTTCTAATTCTCTTCTTTACTGATATTCCTAAAGCAGAGCAAACTAATGTGTTCACTTCAATGTCGAATCAAAATGCTGTAATGATTTACACAGGTTAACGAAAGTGTACAAACTGTCAAGCGTTTAAAGTTTATATTAATCTAGGTATCAATCAAGATATTTTACTCTACAAAACTGTACAGATAATGTTTGTCTTTTTTAAGTAATTGTTAATTTTGTTGCATTAGATGAAACTAGATTCAATCTATTGTACACGCAGATCTAGCATTGAAATTCCACAAGTTGACGTTCTACAGTAAATGCAAATACAAGAGTAGAGATACTGAAAAATCCACAATTTGACCCCTTTTAAAACACCTTACGTTTTCCCTTGTTTCATCATGTGTTCACTGGAGCAGACGACCCGTGACCTTTGACCTAGTAAATGATCTGACCTTTTATATATCCACTGAAAATCAAGCGTACATGTACTCGTCATTGACCCTGCTTCGTCCATACTCGGGTATTTACGTCCTAGTGGGAATGGCCCTCGTGTGTTACGATCGATTATCAATATTTAGATGGAAAATGTGTATGTTTAGAAAGTTGTCAGTATCAAATTATCTATTTCTTTCCTAAATTTAAGCTAATCGAATCGACGGTAATACAGTTTGTCAACTAATCACATTCTTACGCACTCTTCGACGCCATATGCTTGTGACATTCATGTAAGCTTTTTGATGACCCTGCCGATCATTTGTATTTTAGATATAAAGGGAAAGAAATCGCGAAAATAAACACATCCAGTGTAATTAATATGGTCAATATTTTTTGAAAGGATCGTTGTTCCTGCTACGTAAGATGTCGCTCTATTATTCGATTAGGCATATTCACGGGCTCCATGAACCGGAAGAGGTCACCGGAAGTACGAAAAGTGTCTAGGCTGTAGCTTTACGATTCAGTGATGGAATCAGTTTGGTTGGATCAAATCTATTTACACGCACATGTTACCGGTAAAGAGCTCCGTTCGGGTGCATACGTCACCCGAGAGCTTCGCTCTTATAATTTGTGTTATAATTATCCACATTAAGGTACGGTACGTACCTGCACGCCGAAGATCAACCTGTCTAGTTCCGCTACACAAATAACATCTTTCACTTTTCACCCAAGATCTTTTGTGGGCGTGGAATGTTTACAACTTTGTAGACGAAAACATCACAGCTTATATAAGGGGGTCAGTTTCTGGGACATCTCCGCGGTAATATTTACAGCCTGTACATCGACACGAGGTCACCTTAAGCTCGAGATTAGAGGTTGTTTCTCATGGCTGTTCACATAGCTGGTATCTACCCCACTCTGACATAATCCACTGTTATCATAACACAACTTACTTATATATGTAGACTGTGTGTACGGTCTATTATTCCGTAATTGTGGACTTAAAGGATCCCGTACCAAAAACTATAACTAAGAGCCTGTCCGTTTATGCGGAACAACCGGTTTGTCTGTTTTTTCAATGTAACATTTTCGAATTTAATCCTGGCGGACATGCATATGTTTATGCAGGCCTTGCAGCAGCATCAGATAACTGGGTCTGACCTTATTACATTAACGAACAACTCTGGTCCGACTTATATGGAAAATGAGATAATCACTGATATATATAATATATATATATATATATATATATATAGTAGATAATAAATAAATGAGTCCTTGCGAAGGAAAATATAGAATAAAAACAAATTTTTCAGATCGTCCGCTGGTATATATATATACAAGTCTTACGCGTATAACTTCACGTCTTATACGTATATCGACACGTCTTACACGTACATCGACACGTCTTACATGTACACGTATATCTACACGTCTTACACGTACATCGACACGTCTTACATGTACACGTATATCTACACGTCTTACACGTATATCTACACGTCTTATATGTATATCTTCACGTCTGATACGTATATCTACACGTCTTACACGTATATCTACACGTCTTATATGTATATCTTCACGTCTGATACGTATATCTACACGTCTTACACGTATATCTACACGTCTTATATGTATATCT